GGTAGGGCTGGGGTAGCTAGAGGGTGGTTTAAAAGGAATTACATGTAAGAGTTGATGCCTTTACATAGTCGGAAGTTGCACTGTGCGGTCAAATTTAGCATCCAAAAGTTGTGCGCTGGGCGAAAGTTGCGTGCGCTCGGAAAGTTGCGTGCAGGGATTAAATGTGCAGAACAACCGCCATAAAACATAAGCGCAAAGGGCGGCATTTATTCTTAGCACCTGCCTTTTATATTTAAAGTTCAAGGCGGAATTACCTTGCTTATCAAGGTCTATTTCCACAGTCATAATTATGTAAGCCGTCGTACTGTCCCCCAAGGTCATACATCACTTTTATTTCAGCCGAAGCGTTAGAGACCGCTCTAGACTGGCTGCCAAACACAACCAAGCCAATCCGTCGTACTGCCCCAAGGTCATATATCACTTTTATTTCAGCCGAAACGTTAGAGACCGCTCTAGACTGCCGCCAAACCTAACGGTGCAAATTTGCCATCCAGTTACTGAGAGATTTCTGTGATACTTACTCAGTCTACTGTCTTCAACAAATCTGCTCAAATTCTTCAACTTATACAATACTACTTACTAGTAACAATACTGACCAAAAGATGATAGATGCCTGCTACGTAAGTAGTGGGTCACACTTTTTTTGTAAATACAAGCTTCAGACCCATCCACTTTCATTGGCTGCGAGGAGCGAACCGCGTAAGTGGTTCGGCGACAAGCAGCCAATAAAAGATCACAAACTTACTCTCATTTTTAATCACCATAGCAGGCTTCAAAGCGCCCGCAGGGGCACTACAGTGATTATTATTATTTATTTTGCATGAAATACAAGCAAGGTTTTTGTTGACATTGGAACAATGTCAAACTCTAGTCTCAAAACTGGCTGCTGTTTGATTAGTATTGTTAGCCCAGGGTTTTTGTACGAGTGAATGGATAATCTAAATGTGCTCATAATTTTCGTTCTGTTTTCGTTCTGGTTTATTTAGGTCAACTTTTAACCACAAACGTCCAAAGTCAATTCAGCCGCCCCGCGTGAAGGACGAGCCCCAATGCTATGAGCAACCCGTAACCCTCCTAACTGCTCTGATACCCGTCCGCCCACCCTCAACCACTCGCCCCACACACCAATGCATGCCATAAACCAAAAACTGCAGGGACATAACCACCCCTACCATGGAACAAATAGTGATCACACTTTCTGGCCAGGCGTCGAAAGCCACAAGCTCGAGGAAGAGCATGAGGGAGAGGGCGGAGATGAACATGCAGAGACCTGGGACACGCGCTGAGAGGGAGAAGAAGAAGTAAGAGCCGTATACATCCCGAGCACGAGCCTGGATCAGGAAGGGTTAGAAGAGACAGCTGAGTAGGAATAGGAACGTACAATGAATGTCTGTAGGTCTGCCCAGTTGCATCTTAGAAGAAACCACGCGTCACATGCGATGCCGAGACCAGATGCAATGCTGCTCGTAGCAATAGCACTCCGAGCGTAGGAGTTGACATCGAATAGTGACCCTGGGGAGATGGAGAAGACGGCTTTATCGACACTGATGTAGGGGACATCAGCAACTCTCCGGGAACGAAGTTGAATGTACATACGCTGCTAGTGCGACTAGCTGTATGAAGAGATCGGGTAAGAACGGAATCAGGGAGGGAACGAAGAGAAGAGTGCTCACCAAACCTCCGATATAGGTCCACTCCGTCTGTAAGCGCGCGAACACCTTGTCATATACTGAGTCCGTAGTAGCTTCCTTCAGTTCGCTGTACATCGTAAATGACGCCAGCACTCTCTCCATCAGCGATAGCGACAGAGCGGCAATTTGACGATTTGTTGGGAAACGAAAGTGAATTCGTAAAGGCATGAGGTCGGGGATGATGATGTGAAGGTCGACGGTCACAGGGACGACTTTGGGGGCGGATTGATCTGTGGCTGCGTCGTGAGACCGATGGTGGAAGGCTATTTTTTCAACTAGTGCGACACCGCAGATGTGGGATGCTGAGAAAGGTCCTCGAGCAACAGCTGCAGTTCCTATCGATTCGAATGCAACATCGCCCACAGCAGCTACCACCCCCCATTCCCAGAGATCAGACAAAAGACGATTGCTGCATGCACAGCGACTGCACGCTCTTTGCGACTTTTCATTGCTTGTAGACGAGGCCATCTCCCACAAACGTTGCACCATAGCTTGACGGACATCCCTCAAATAAATTTATACCATGAAGAGAATTGTTATCCTGGTCCAAGTGCTGCACGCAAATCCACACGCAGTCCCGTTCATCGCGTCGAAGCCAACTATCGTTTATTGTGTCGTGTCACGTGATGGCAAATGTTCAAAGCCAACCATTCTGCAACCGTCAACCCAATGAAACCGTCTAGAGTGGTGACGACGAGGATGGAAGCGCGTTGATCAACGGCGCATGGGGTGACGGCTACTGACATTCGGAAAAGACTGGTAAGTTTGGGTAAAGAAAAGATAAAACCTACCTTAACGACCAATCGTAAACTGCATATTACGAGGAATTCGAGCATGAGTTGGGCTTGAGAGTGAAATAATAAGGGATTAGAGTGCAGAGAGATTTTGCCCTAGAAAGAGTGGTTGGGGAAATTGCAATTTTGGCGCGAAGTGAAGCCGTGGACCAAATCCTCCTGTTATCTGAGTGTGGTCGAGGGTGTCGCACGACTGCTGCGCGCGAGTCATCGCAGGAGATGCTTCGATCGGGGATCAGCCGCTGCATCAGCATCTTTGCGAAGTGAGAATTTGCTCCGTGGCCAAGGTATCCAAGAACGAAGATGGCAGCACAGAGATGACGTGTTGGGCAAAGCGCGAATTCGCTCAATGGCCAAGGTATGTACCTGCAAGGGTCATCGAGGTGCTCGCTGGACAACCAGTTTTTCACTTCCCCAATGATCCGTTGTGCCTGACAACGAATAACACAGAAGATGAGCCAGAAATCGGACACAAAGGTTCCTCGCACAACGAGAAGGCCCAGTTGGCAAATACACTATGGGCCGCCCATCCCGCGACCCCCTGGGTCATCGGAGTAGAGTTTCCATTTGTAGCCTGCCCAAATGGCGAGAAGTGCATCATCGAGCAAGTGGTCTTCTCCAACGCCTCGACAAATAGGTCCGTTAGCGCCTAGACAAATAGGTCCTTTAGCGCCTTCGGAACGCATCATGAAAGTCGGTTGGTACAGGTTACCAAGTATGGGTTCATAAAGGAGCAGCGGTCAATGTGTTCATGTCGCCTGATGTCAACAGTTCGTCTGGCAGGTTCAGACCCTTCCCACCCGGGCAAAGCGCGAATTCGCTCAATGTCCAAGGTATGTACTTGCAAGGGTCATCAAGCTGGCAGGTTCAAACCCATCCTACCAAGGGCAAAGAGCGCATTCGCTCAGTGTCCAAAGTATGTACTTGCAAGGGTCGTCAAGGTGCTCGCTGGACGTGCCTAGTAACAAATAACTAAGAAAATGAGCCAAGCGTCGTACACAAAGGTGAGATTAGTGACCTCTTGCAGCTCTGGCATTCCTTGAGGGTCCGCAAATAGGATGATGTAACCCCTTCGTCCTCGCACAACGAGAAGGCCCAGTTGGCTAACTGTATCGGCCGCCCCATCCCGCGACCCCCTGGGTTGTTGGAGTAGAGTTTGCAGTTGCAGCCTGGCGAAAATTTCATCATCGAGCAGTCTCCTCCAACGCCTGGACAAATAGGTATGTTCGCGCCCTCGGAAGGTATCATGAAAGTCGGTCGGTACAGGTTGTCAACTATGGGCTCATAAAGGAGCAGCGGTTGATTTGTTCACGTTGCCTGATGTCAACAGTTCATCTGGCAGGTTCAAACCCTTCCTACCCAAGGGCAAAGCGCGAATTCGCTCAATGGCCAAGGTATGTACCTGCAAGGGTCATCAAGATGCTCGCAGGACGTGCCTAGTAACAAATAACTAAGAAAATGAGCCAAGCGTCGTACACAAAGGTGAAATTAGTGACCTCTTGCAGCTCTGGCATTCCTCGAGGATCCGCAAATAGAGATCACCTTGTCCCGGGAGAAGCTCATCTAGAATCCATGGATCCAGGTATCCGTGTATCCAGTCATCCATGAATCGAAATATCCATGGATTCCCGCGGTGCATACGAAATGTTCCATGTCGGTCACGAGAATACAAAGATGACGCCATGAAGTGTAGCAAAGCGCGAATTCGCTCAGTGCTGCGACGAGCCGTAGATCAAGTTGTCGATGTGGTAACGCTGAGGGGAAAGGTCTGTGAGAGAACGAAACTGTGATACTGTGAGTGCGACTTACTTCCAGTCGTCCATAAATCCAGATTCGGTCATTAACAGGACTCAAATGCCAGTGAGAACTCGCGCGATGGCTACGACCTCGATTATGAGAATCCAACGATGAGTGTAGCAAAGCGCGAATTCGCTCGATGCTGCGACGAGCCGTGGATCAAGTTGTCGAGGCCAAAGTTTTGTGGAGACGGCGCTATTCGTATTACATAATCTCTCCTCACATCTATTATTAGCCGCCAACTCTCTGGCCCCTTTGACTTTGGATTTGCCGAGCAATTGCCGAGTGACTACGATGTGGCTTTTATATGTTTACTCTTTCAGCTAAATCCATGTTCATTGACGCCTTTCCACTTGTCCGGCGGCTCAAGGTACCAAAGTCGGTGCATAACGCCAACAAAGAGTCGCACCGGTTGGAAATAGGCTATAGCTCCGATACCATGCAATTCACCCATGACAACGGCGCGGATACATGCTTAGCGGTGTTGGATCCCGCGTCGTGTCGTCTGGCACCGGCAGTTCAGGTTATAATCATCGGTCTCTCCAGTTCCAAACCCTCTGAGTGACGTTGCATAGATTTCAAAATTTATACAGCATTTTCTAGAATTAGAAGAAGTTCTCTATTCAGCTTCCATTCGTGTTCGCGGCCGACCAACCTTCAGGGATACATATAATCATTTTACCGAGTCGATGACATCACCCACTCTACTTCAAGTCATTTATACCACCTTCCGTAATTCTTTATACCACCTCCCGTAGTTCTCCCGCTTCCAGTCCCCCAATGCGCACGAAAACTGGCGTAGCTTGTGTGAGGATGTCCTTAAGGAGGTGAGGAACCTGTTCAGATCGATTTCTTCGAGGTCGCAGAGCTCAGACTTAACAGTCAGCCTCTGAAGGTCCGGGAACATTTTGAGCCATGATGTAAGAAAGGCCTATCGATGAGAATGAGTTCAATCGTTGCGGGAGGTATATTATTGGCTTACGATAATAGTATGGGTGGAAAGATCAGCGAGGCTTTCAACGACAAGAGTATGGATTTTCAAAATTGGTCCCGATATGAAGCACTTGCATCCGGATGATGTAAAGTGCTCAATTGAGATATGTGTGAGCGGTGGAATCTGTATGGTGACCTGTCCTGCGAAATTCTGGGCGACCAGTGTTTGTAAAGGCCGTGAGAGCGAGTCAACGGATGAGCAAAAATCGACAAAATCGCCATTAAGATCAAAATGCAGCTCATTTAAAGATGCAGGATCCATCAATTTCCACGAACGATAGTTTGCAGAAAGATGTAGATACTTCAATGGAGGGAGGACCTGAAGCGGGTTATTTTCTATTGGGGGGTCATCCTCAAAAGAATTCAGAGACAGACGGCGGAGGGCGGGGTGCCTGGCAAAAAATTCAGGCGAGATCAACATCATTGGAATGCTCATGAAAAGCTCAAAGGATTCCAGCCCGGGAAAGTCAATAAGCGGCTCGATGTCGCGAAAAAAATCTGGGGTACCAAAAACCAGAAGCAATGATTGCATAGCCTGGCCTCGTAATAGGAAGGGCCAGATCTCTCGCAGCAGCCCAGTTATGTTGCGCTCTCCAAATAATCCCGAGATGATGTGCAGTTTCTGGACTCCATTCATCACCTGTTGGAGATGGGGCATGTATTCGGATAAATCTTCGCGGAAAATTCCATGGTCTGAGGGCGGAGAAGGAAGGGATGTGAAAGGAAAGGTAGAAAACCTTCCCTCCAGTTCTGGGGATAAAATATAGTCGGAGAAACCTTCCGAATGTGAGGGCGGAGAAACAAACGACGGTGAAGGAATGGTAGAAGCCTCTTCTTCTAGCTCCTGTGGGAAAGATACATCTGACGGTACGATTCGTACTTCGTCGCAAGATCCCAAGAGCGTGAGCACCTGCAAGACCGCGTGGTGAAGTCGTTTCATTTCCTCCTTGGTCTGCTTGTCTTCCCCGGGAAACCGAATCTCAACGGAAAGAAACGAAGATATGCCCTTGACAATTTGTTCGACCTCTGGCTTATATCGTATCAAGTGCAATGATTCTAGGCAGAGACGACATCGTTTATTGCTTGCCAAAACCATCCACAGAAGGTGGTCTATCCCGGCTGATAGCTGCAGTAAAGTGTCGCTGGGTGAAACGGTGACTGATTCGCCATACTCGATTACTTTGGTGCGCTTGATGAAAGCCCCGAGGCAGATAGCCTCCAGGCGAGGATGCAGTTGAGCAAACGAGAAGAGGTCACTGTTCGTTGTGTAACGAGTGATCTCGAACAAGACCTCTGAGGAAAGGTCAAGGAGGTCTGGATAGTTCGCTCGATCTCGCAACCGCACGATCTGAAAAACAGAAACATCAGAAGAGGAAAGCGAAGGGCAAAGAGTGAGAAAACGAACAGCTTCGCAGCATGTAAGGGGTTGGGGGCTGCTGTCAGCCTTCTGGAGGGAAGAGAGGGAAACATTGCAACTTGTTTGCTGTGAAGGTCGCGACATAGGTATTAGGTGGCGGCCGCCGAGTTGCCAGTGGGCCACCTTTAAACGGCATGGGGTGGCACATTAGACAATAGCTTTTGTTAGACCCTTTGTTGTAATTTATGACCAAGGCCCTTTGTCGAATCTGCGCGTCCAGCTTGCGCCTCCCCGGACACGTCACATGGACACGTCACATGACCTAACACGTGTAAGATACAGTCACATGTACGCCTTTCGAGTGCAATGGTATTTTTACTATTTATCAATGAAAAGAGATAGCATGTTCAAACCCTTCCTAACCAAGGGCAAAGCGCGAATTGGCTCAGTGGCCAAGATATGTACTTGAAGGGCCATCTGGACAACGAGTCTTTCATTTCCCCAACGATCCATTGTGCCTGGTAACGAATAACTAAGAGAATGCGAAAATTGGACACAAAGTGTTAGTGACCTTTTGTAGCTAGATCTGCCACTCCTTGAGGGTCCGCAAATAGGACGATGTAACCCCGTCAACTAGCCGCGCCATCCCGCGACCCCCTGGGTTATTAGAGAAGAGTTTGCAGTTGCAGCCTTAGCCTGCCTAAATGGCGAGAATTTCATCATCGAGCAGTCTCCTCCAACGCCTAGACAAATAGGTGTGTTTACGCCCTCGGAAGGTATCATGAAAGTCGGTCGGTACAAATTGTCAACTATGGGTTCATAAAGGAGCAGCGGTTGATGTGTTCACGTTCCCTGATGTCAACAGTTCGTCTGGTAGGTTCAAAGCCTTCCTACCCAAGGGCAAAGCGCGAATTCGCTCAATAGCCAAGGTATGTATATGTAAGGGTCATCAAGGTCGTCGCTGGACAACTGTCATGTTCAAACCCTTCCTAGCCAAGGGCAAAGCGCGAATTCGCTCAGTGGCCAAGGTATGTGTTGAAAGGGCCAAGGTATGTGTTGAAAGGGTCATCTGGACAACCAGTCTTTCCTTTCCCCAACGATCCGTTATGCCTGGTGACGATTAACCAAGAAAATGAGCCACAAAGGTGTTAGTGACCTTTTGTGGCTGGATCTGCCACTCCTTGAGGGTCCGGAAAGGGATGATGTAACCCCGTCAACGAGCCGCCCCATCCCACGACCCCCGGGTTGTTGGAGTAGAGTTTGCAGATGCAAATGGCGAAAATTTCATCATCGAGCAGTCTCCTCCAACGCCTGGACAAATAGGTCTGTTCACGCCCTCGGAAGGTATCATGAAAGTCGGTCGGTACAGGTTGTCAACTATGGGCTCATAAAGGAGCAGCGGTTGAATTCGCTCAATGTCCAAGGTATGTGCTTGCAAGGGTCATCAAAGTCCTCGCTGGACGACTGTCATGTTCAAACCCTTCCTAGCCAAGGGCAAAGCGCGAATTCGCTCAGTGGCCAAGGTATGTACTTGCAAGGGTCATCAAGGTGCTCGCTGGACAACCAGTTTTTCACTTCCCCAATGATCCGTTGTGCCTGGTAACGAATAACTAAGAAAATGAACCAAAAATCGGACACAAAGGTTCCTCGCACAACGAGAAGGCCCAGTTGGCAAATACACTATCGGCCGCCCATCCCGCGATCCCCTGGGTCATCGGAGTAGAATTTCCAGTTGCAGCCTGCCCAAATGGCGAGGATTTCATCACCGAGCAAGCAGTCTTCTCCAACGCCTCGACAAATAGGACCTATTTGGGCAAAGCGCGAATTCGCTCAATGTCCAAGGTATGTACTTGCAAGGGTCATCAAGCTGCTCGCTGGACGACTGGCAGGTTCAAACCCATCCTACCAAGGGCAAAGAGCGCATTCGCTCAGTTTCCAAAGTATGTACTTGCAAGGGTCGTCAAAGTGCTCGCTGGACGTGCCTAGTAACAAATAACTAAGAAAATGAGCCAAGCATCGGACACAAAGGTGAGATTAGTGACCTCTTGCAGCTCTGGCATTCCTTGAGGGTCCGCAAATAGGATGATGTAACCCCGTCGTCCTCGCACAACTTGAAGGCCCAGTTGGCGAATACCGTATCGGCCGCCCCATCCTGCGACCCCCTGGGTTATTGGAGTAGAGTTTGCAGATGCAGCCTGCGAGAATTTGATCATCGAGCAGGACAAATAGGTGGGGTGAGAGTCCGTGAGACACTGGGCGTGGACCTATTCAGAGGATAGTATAAAGAGTGGCGCCCAGTATCCATCGGTAGACCGTAAAAACGTGAGCTGGCAAGAGGTCATTAGGCACTAGCTTGTCAATGAAAAGTCCATACCCACAGGAAGGCACCAAAGTATAATCCCTTGATAGATATATGTATCAATATCGCCGTTGCTTTTGGAGCTCTGATGCTTAGCTCCTGAGTTGTTAGAGAGGTCCTCCGCCGCAGTTCCGAGTGGATCTAAGATGTACATGTGATCCTCCGCGAGAAAAGAACGACGCCGCAGGGAGGCCTTCAAGTTCCAGACGAGACGCCGGCCAAACCCTGGCATGCATGGTGCTCAACTAAAATTGCGGAGATAACGAAAATTCGACGCACCAAGAAACAGAAACCACAAGTTCCGTCGTCGCCCTCTCCAATACCTACGTTCCGATATTTGTTGAGAGTTTTCGGTGAAACGCACGGGCGGAAGGACCACACATGCTGTGGAGTTTGATCTTGGTGTGATTGAACCGGTGTTGTTTACTTCAAGACCATGAAACAAACAAAGAAACGCCTAGCTCGCACTCGGCTAAGTAATAGCAAACTTGCAGGTCAAAAGCCGCGCGCCGCGTCAGTGAGTTAGCACCTTTCAAGTCTGCATTTTGTCGAGTGACTACGAGGTGCAAGGTTTAGACCACGGACACCGCAGGAATTCAACCCAAGTTCATGTGCGTTCCACATTCACCGCTTCGCCCCACTTCAATTCCTGTCCTTTCACTCCTTGTGACCTGCAGCTCAGGAGTTTGGCGGAGCGTTGACCGGGGATGGAAGTATTGTAACCATCGGCCGGACATTATTCTTGCAGGCGACAACCTCATACGCTATATGCACTGAGCGAATTCGCGCTTTGCTATGCCTTCCTCAAACCACGAGTTATCTGCCCCCCCCTTCAGATCTTTGCATGTATTATAGACCTGTTGCACAGAGCCTGCACTTTGGATTGTACTTGGAAGCAAGCAACGCAGAAATCCTTCTTAGCGCTGCAGCCGAGAACCAGTTCTATCGATCTCCCTTGACATTGTCTGACTGCTTTTTCCGACATCCTTTATTTGACATAAAACTCGGGATTAAAAAGTTGTGCAACAAGTAAGTCAACACTTCATCTCCACTTTGTTGCAACTGATTCTCTTGTCCTCTTTCCACAAAGGCTTGAGTTTGAATGCGTCGTGGTTGAAAGTTGCTTGTTTTCTGAGGTTTCTGCAAGTCGGGTGTCAATATGTGTGGATGAAGCTTAAGGAAGGACAGTGAATGAAGGGCACGGCACGCACCCTTTGCCTGCCCACGTAATTTCTGGATGATATATCGAGCCAACTCAATGTGCTCCTCCTTTTGCGCTAACAACCCATGTAAGCTCTGAATGCCCTGCGAAGAAAACTACTTATAAGCCCAGCTACTGGAAATTAGGTAACTTGCAAACCTTGAGAAGAGCATCGTTTTCTTTCCGAAGTTGCATGCGCTCTTCTTCGAAAGCATCACACTCCGTTGAGATCAAGACAAAGTCGTTGTCGATATCGCGGCTCAGAATGCTGTACATGTAACCGACTAATGCGAGAGGCACAGTGTGAAGGTGAGGAAAACATTGTTTGGGTTGCAAAGCTCTCTTTATACACCACGACGTGACGTCTTTGTTTGATTTAGTGTACCCTTACAAATGACTTCAAATTACAAACAACGAGAACCATTCTGCCATTGTCTGCATTGTTACTGAGCCACTAGGAAAGGGGCGGCTGAAAGGATGACGAGCAAAAATGCCTATTGAGACCTGTCAATTTACTGGGAAAAGTCAGACGTTGATGAGTTGAACTCACCGTGGTTTTCCAGGTGATCTTCTCGACAAAAATGTTACACCAATCGGCCATCACTTCAGCGAATAATTTCAACCCTATCGCAAGATTTACGTTTTGCTCTAAACACAGTTTCCAAGCTCGGCAGCGGTCAATCATTGCAGGAATAGATGCCGTTGCACACGCGTTTGACAAATATTCCCACTCGCATCTCGATGCATCCTCTTTCATGACTTGCACGCAAATGAATGGACAGGAATAGGGATACGGCAAGAACTCACAGAAGGAATACTCGGCTGCTAGGCTTAACACATCTTCTCGGACAGCAGAAAATAGCTTACTGAGACAGTACGCCGCAAGAAGGAGGGCAACAACGGAGGCAGCAAGATATATGTATCTGAAAATCGGTTGCAAAAGAAGAACAATTATTATTGTTCTCGAATACATACTTTTGAAGGATTTTCGGGGTTGTGTCATCAAAAAATCTGGAGGAGATTGAGGGGGTTGGACGGCCTTCGGCTACAGATGCCCTGAGAGGAGAGTAGATCACTGTATTATAGACAGTGGCTGGTTCTGCCACCTCAGGTTCGGGAATGTTGTACCGTGTTACGACTTCCTGAGTCTTCCACGCGCCACCGTCAAGAGGTTTACGGAATCTAAAGGATTGTTGTCGATGAGGTGAATTCATGGCTTGACAGAAGTATTGGGAGTAGGACACAAGACAAAGGACCTCAAGGCCAGTCGATTTGGCCTAACTTTGCACGTGACGTTTGCAGGCATCTGTAACTCTTGCAGCTCCCCCTCACTCCAGCTCTTGGATGTCGCACGGTGTACGTAGTCCAGTTCCAAAAAGAGTATCCCTGTAGCAAAACCTTTTTCAACATACAGTAAAAAAAGTGATTCTGTAGAGGAAGTTTGTTACTTGCGTTGTATGGGAATCAAACGCACCACCTAATGCGAGGCTCAAGCGTCAATGGCTCCCGCTCTCCTCCAGCCGTCTCTTCTCCAGCACCGACTTCTTCACCAAAGACCGCAAGGTCGCATCATGACCTTCGCCATCTCCTCAAATCCGCCGTCGACCTTTCGCCTTCCAGCGATGGCGACATTGATGGGCGTTGGGTCGATAGGTGAGAGCCTCTTACTATAGGAAGAAAGCGACACATCGATCAACTCAGGTGCCAGCGTTAAGTACGTGTAACGTGGCAAATGGCCCAACGAGAAGCGCGCAGCCCTGCTTCTGGCGCAAGTAGCGCGGAAAGACCAGACAAAGGATATCGGACGCCTCGTCATCATCTAACTCGACTTTTCCGAGATGAGGAAACGCAGGTGTGGGGGAGGGAAACTTTGAGAAATGGTATGCGCGCAGTCATAAGACAGTGCTTGATGGGCCATAAGGTTTGCTTCGCCCGCTTTACTGTGTGTGGTTTCGCTAAGCAGCATTTTGGTAGTAATGGTACAAACGCCGAAAACAGGAGATAATCTTGCAAGTATGACGGATTGATAATTGGCTGAAGCTGGATGGCGCCGCGGGGGGACAGGCCGCGTCACCTCAACCATCGGCGACCTGCATTCGTTGAGGTACATTCGTCGGTGATCCTCCAACACACCGTGACCTACCTCCTCCTAGACTACCAGTGCACAGTGGTTTGTCACCGTAATATATGCACACAAATGTTTGTAATTATAATTGGTATGTACTAGAATATCCTGGTTACTGGATCTGTTACAAGTATCTATTGTGAGCCAGACCGATTCCAACAACTCGGCGAAATCGAGGTGAATCTCCCATCATCATTGGTACATCAGAAACTTTCGTTTGATACCAGAGGGTAAACCAAAAGAGGGTGAAAATGATAGCAAAGCCTCCCAAACTAAGTCGAGATGGAGTCGTCCTTCCAAAGTATGGTTTTCGAAAAATATCCATCATGGGAGCGGTAGGACAGTAAAAGCCCCATACACATATGCTGCTCCAAATATGACAGATGGACACCTGTATATAAGACTTTAGACCCCAAACAGCAATGATAAAGCACCAAAGATATGCTTCTGCTCTCATTCGCAAATATCGTTCTACATAGGGGAAAAGCAGAAATAGAAGGCTGGTGAATTGTCCAACTTGATTTCCACGGAGAGCTTCTTGAATGATGGCAGAGAAGTGAAAAAGGTGGACTGGTATGAATTTGAGGCGCAAACGTTGGAATCGGCGTCGTGTGAGAGCAGTCCGGAGAACGGCTTGAAAGGAGACAAGGAAGTCGAGCCTAACCGAATAACGACGCCAGTCACCCAACTTTCTCTCACTGGCAGATCTTGCTAACCAACCGTGGATGGCAGTTTGAAAGGATGTCAAGAAACCTGGTTGGGCTATTAGATATTGACGCCACTGGGTCAGCTGCCGCTGTTTTCTATCCATGGATTGGCGCATAAGAGCGGTCCGGAGAGTTGCTTGAAGGGAGACGAGACTCGCCGGATTATCGACTAAGTAACGGCACAAATCACCAAGTTGATGTCGCCTTCCGTCATTGGCAAATCTTGCTAATCGGCCACGAATGGCAGTTTGAAGCGGGATTAGGGCCGATTGGGCCACCGGGTGTTGACGCCATTGGGCCAGCTGATGCTGCTTTCTACCCAAGGACTGGCACATAAGAGCGGTCCAGAGGACTGCTTGAAGGAAGATGAGGCTACCAGGCCTATCCATCAAACAGCGACGCCGATCACCCAATTGACATCGCTTTCCGCCAGTAGCAGATCTTACTGACCAGCCGCGGATGGTGGTTTGAAGGGAAATTAAAAGGGCTGGCCCGGCTATCAGGTATTGGCGCCATTCGGCCAGCTGACGCTGCTTCCTAGCCTTGGATCGGCATGTAAGAGCAGTCCGAAGGACAGCCTGAAAGGAGTTGAGGCTATTGGGCCTATCTACTAAACAGCGGCGCCAGTCACCCAATTGACGTCGCTTTCCATAGCTGGTGGATCTTACTGACCAGCCGCGGACAGCGGCTTGAAGAGAGATCAAGGAGGCTGGCTGGTTCATCAGGTATTGACGCCACCCGGCTAGGTGATGCTTTCTATCCTTAGATTGGGAGGTTTTGCACGCGAGGTAGGCACGGCAAGCAGCCTGTATCGGAGGTAAAATTGTGCAAATTTTGAGGTGAAGGTTTTCATGAGCCAGATACTGTTTGAACATAGCTACATCTAACGTTTCTGGGTGGTTACGGAGTGCGGTCTCTTGATTAAGACCTTTTGGGCGAATCTGGTGAATCGGTTAGAGGTGATGATATCCTAAAGGAGCTTTCCGTACAGGCTGAGAGGGTGATCTACGTTGGGTAGATCCTCGCATGAGTGTGGTTTCTTGATTAAGGCCTTTTGGACGAATCTGGTGAATAGGTTAGAGGTGATGTTATGTTAAAGGAGCTTTCCGTACAGGCAGAGAGGGTGATCTACGTTGGGTAGATGAATCACTACCAGAGGATAGTATCCGCATGGGTAGAGAGGGTTTGGGAAGTCTAGATTGGGTAGATAGATCTTTATTGGAGGATCCTTCTCTTGGGCGAATCTAAATAGGGGTTTAGTACAGGCGATAATCTGCTGGAGGAGCTATTGCATACTTGCAGTCTAGACTGGGTAGAAGGCTCTTTGCTGTCGGGCGGAAGTTGCGATTTCCTTTGGGCCTGCGGCTTTGGGTGCTGAGGTCCCCTGTCGTCTGTCCGCTTCTCATGGGCTTGTACGGCGGCTTGTGGCAATCGCGTCGGTGGCTGTGTGGCCTGTGTGCTTTGTGCTTGCAAAGTTTTTCGAAGGTCATCGATTGCTGAGTTAACTGTTTGGTCCACTATGCCCTGCATATCTTCCTTCAGCTTTTCATGCTTCTCTGTATGGGGTAGAGGTGTAAACCACCTGAGCAACAGCGAATTAAGTGCGCTGCGACTCACTAGTATACTCCTCTTCCAATTTGTCAACCTTTTGATTAAAATTGTGCTCCACAGCCACAACCTGTAACCCCAATTGACTCTTGAGGCAGATCAGAAGGTGAGAAGTCGGAAGAAGATTAAGCTCACGGTTTCATTCTTCAAAATACGCGCATTCTTGGCACTATCCTGTTGTAGAGCATTAATGTCACTACTTTGGGTATCCAGCCTCTCTTCAATTCGTTCGACATGTCCACCGATCTGAAAAGTTACCTCGCGATGCACATACTTCGTCATGCCTGCATCGTTCAGTATTCATGAAACAGGTGAGGCATGAAGTACTCACTATCGGCCAGGGCAGGAACATCATTTGTAAGGGGAATATCATAGTCGGACTCGCGATACATGGTGGTCGCCAGCACAAAGCACTGAAGATGATTGGTCAGCATGTTTCTACGGCGTTTCTTCACTTTGAGATTTGCCGCCTGGAGCAAGGGTATTGCGGCTTCTGGGTACGCTGCCACGGTTCGGGCATGGGTTTCGAGTGAGAGAGGCAGTGGGAAGTGAATTCTAGAGCGCGAATCAAGGGATAGTGAAGTTGATGATGAACTGCATTTAAACCGCACTGAAATTTATATATTACTTCTACACCGAGTTACGCAATTGAAGGAGCCGGAGTACAACAAAGCCTCGTATGAATTGTTCTCGCCAGAACGCGTCGCCCCTGCGAGTGGTTTGAAGCTCATTGGTTTCAGAAATAGGGACAAGCCCATTCCCGGCCTACTTCACATCTGAGCCTCTGCATCTCTAGCTCTTCCGAAAGCGGATCAAGGAAAACCTTGCCTTGTAACCCTTAATATATAATGCGGATGGTGCCCCCGCCATGTATTGAATAGAGGAATAGCGCTGGCTAAATAAGGAAGATGGTCGAGCCAGGTCCAAGGTCCCAAGGGACGTGATGCCCGAAGGGAAGATTGTCGCAATCCTTGAGACGATAGTAGACCGTTGTCGTGATCCAAGAGTTTCTGGAGATGCTCGGTGTAAATCATGTAGGCGCGGTGCCCGTGCGGCAAAGATGGCTGAGGGGTTGCTGGAGTCAGGAAAGGTATTTCAAAAGGAGTTCGACTCCTACCTGGTTGATCCCTCGCAGAGCGACGCACGCAATGCATCGTTTTATGGAGGACTCTGTGGACGTCTCCTCCAATGCCTCCCGCATACTAGAACTACCCATCGATTGCTGTCGCTAATGGAGACTCGAGAGTTTCTGAAGCAGGGCTCAGCAATGGATTTGAAAAGAAGAGAGAACCACTCACTCACCCGACCCTAGTCGAATTTGAAAGTTTGAAGTTTGAACATGTAGGCCCGACGATTTGATCTACCATAGTCGCCACGAGTGACTGTAATCAAGATAGCTCGAATTCTGAGATTCCTCTTCAGGCGAACTAAGTAACTGGAGCTGGAGGGAGGCATTGTGCATCATCGGACGCGAAATCAGTTCCGCGATGGCACACTTGATATCGGGTTGGAGTTCCCACCTCTCCACTGTCTCATCTTCTTCCCCTCCGAGCTGCTATTTCATACACCTTCTTGCTTATATTAGTCGCTTCATTTCTTGGTTCACAGCAGGATACTTATATTAAAGTTGAAGGTCACGGCCTATGCAACATCTATTGATAGAGATTCGATTATTTGATTGGCGAATGCAAAACAGATGACTATGCAGTTAAAGTCCCTCAGCAGGCTCTACCCCATGAACGCTAATATGATACAGGCATGTTGTAGGTGCTCCCCAGTTGCTTAATACCTCGACAATGATGGCCTCGAAAGATGCATCAACGTTCTCGGCAGCCTGTGAGAGCTTGAATGTTTGTGCCTTCGAAACTTGCGCGTATTGCATTTCTGCAAGCCGCCAGAGTGTCCCTGACCGTGAACCACGAATCCCGGTCCTAAGAAAGTCATCCATTGTCCGGTTTTCCAATGACATGTTCGTAATGTTGGCCGATATGTCAACCTGCCCCCACAGAACGAGGTCACGCGGCACTCGAGCATGCTCTTTGGCGGACACAATGCCGTGGGATTGATGGATTGTTACGTTCGCGATTTCGATGGGCCCAGAAAAGGAAATGCCAATATGGCCACTGGGGCCTGTAAACTCCCAGCATTCACCGAGCTCAAATGTTTTTTCCATAACGACACTCGGAGGATTGATAAGGACAGAGTTCATATCAAAGCCTCTAACTTTCCGTTGAAACCAGGAATAAATCGTTTCGCGTGGAATTCCATGGGTTTCCGAAGTGTGAGTTTGAATGATCTCCGCCCCTTCGCCTTTGCTCGCAAAATTTCGTGCTCGCGACATTTCATTCCAATCTTGAAAACGGTGAAAACCATCCTCCACAGTGGTCACGCAGGCGTTGAGATTATGAAATTCATCGCGGGTGGGATGTCCAAGCAAGTCGTTTTCAGAGAACACAGCGGATCGAGGAGGATGGAGGGTTAAAACTTGGTGATATGAGTGTGCAAAGGCGCAGATGGGCTCCAAGTCAAATGGGAAGTATATGTGAGAGTAGAGTGTGCACACAGTGCGGGATACTCGACAAGTAACGATAGCAATCTTCCACATGCTGACGATAGCGATGACTGCGGTGACGAGGACAAATTTTTGGATTCTGTGTGAGGTAGAAGAGCTTGGCTGCTTCTGTAATGTCAAAATTCAATGTTCAACCTTGGAAAACCATTACTGTCGGGTTTGCACTTACCACGTGCGGTACAGCCACTGGCCCGCTTTGACAGGGTTCACTATGGCCGATAAGGTTGAAACCTTCTGGTATTTTCGAGTCATTGGTAAGAAAGCATTCCAAGGCAAACGGATCTTGAAAGTCGCGGGGAACATAATCCGCGAACGACGGTGATGGTGGCATGAAAGTTGTTAACTTGTCTTTTGTGCCATGCATGCAAGTTTGATCAAGACATTACGTAATGTATTTCTATTTGTTGTTTCTGAACGCGAACCTGGGATGGACCTTTAGCCTTTCCCCTTTCCCCTTTTCAATGACGAAGTCTTCGGGTTCGATAACGCAATGTCCTCGGGAATAGACACCTTCAAAGGGACGACAGCACATTCTCAACAGCACATTCTCAACAGCACATTCTCAACAGCACATTCTCAGTACAATGTGTCGGGCTTCAACACTTTAGGTATCACATGGGGTACTTGGGTCGACTGCACGGGGGTTGTGAATGGTGTTGGAAGGAAAAGGGCGTGTAGCACGGATTGCATAGCCATTGCTTGAGAATTAAAGAGATCCGAAGGACGGGCTGTAGGATGACGTATCTACATACTATCAGAACATATCGCACTGCAATGCAAATGAGCTCACAGGAATGAGAGCAACTGGGGTGAAGCAAAGCGCAAACTGGGTCGGTGATTGCCAAGCAGGAACCATTTGCTCTGTAAGATTCACGAGTTGCGATTTGAAGCAGCATACTAGGACACAGCATGACTTGGTCGATTTAACCCTGTCCCAGGCGAACAGCAAAGCGCGAATTCGCTCAGTGCCACTCGATGCGATGTTGAAAGCGCGGGGGGAAACAAATCCAGAGTCAAGGGATTCTTGCAGGGAAGACTAGCAATGCTGGGGGTTGGGCAGCAGAATGCTTGACGTCAACAGAGGCACTGACCTGGTTCATCTAACAGACTGAACCGACTTCCAGCTCAGGGGTGAAGCATGTCTGGCCAAGGTTGAATCGCAATATGATGAAAGTATCTTGACAATCACTCTAGAATGCTTGACGTCAATGGAGGCACAGATCTGGTTTATCCAACAAATTGAGTTCCAGCCCAAAGGCGAAGCATGTCCCTAGATCTTCTTATTATCTAGAAATCAAGGTTAAAGACTTGAAAAAGGGCGTAAAGAGATGACATGTTGGCGGAGCGCGGCAAGTATGGGTTCACAAAGGAGCAGCAGTTGAGTTCATCATCGAGCAGTCTCCTCCAATGCCTGGACAAATAGGTCTGTTTACACCTTCGGAAGGTATCATGAAAGTCGGTTGAAATGAGTTCATAAAGGAGCAGCGGTTGATCTGTTCACATTGCCTGATGTCAAGAGTTCATCTAGCAGGTTCAAACCCTTCCTACCCAAGGGCAAAGTTTGAATTCGCTCAATGTTCAAGGTATGTATATGCAAGGGTCATCAAGGTCCTTGCTGACGACTGGCATGTTCAAACCCTTCCTAGCCAAGGGCAAAGCGCGAATTCGCTCAGTGGCCAAGGTATGTACTTGCAAGGGTCATCAAGGTGCTCGCTAGACAACCAGTCTTTCATTTCCCCAATCTAGTAACGAATAACTAGCCAAAATGGGACAGAAAGGTTCCTCGCACAACGAGAAAGCCCAGTTGGCAGATACACTATCGGCCGCCCATCCCGCGATTCCTTGGGTTATCGGAGTAGAGTTTGCAGATGCAGCCTGCACACATGGCAGGAATTTGATCATCGAGCAGTCTTCTCTAACGCCTCAACAAATAAGTCCGTGAGCGCGTAGACAAATAGGTCCTTTCGCGCCTTCAGAAGGCATCATGGAACTCGGTCGGTACAGGTTGCGAAGTGTGGGTTCATAGAGGAGCAGAGGTTGATGTGTTCACGTTGCCTAATGTCACAGTTCGTCTGGCAGGTTCAAACCCTTCCTACCCAAGGGCAAAGCGCGAATTCGCTCAATGTCCAAGGTATGTACATGCAAGGGTCATCAAGGTGCTCGCTGAACGACTGGCAGGTTCAAACCCTTCCTACCCAAGCGCAAAGCGAATTCGCTCAGTGGCCAAGGTATGCGCTTGCAGGGTCATCAAGGTACTCGCTGGACAAGTTACAACCAGTCTTTCAATTCCCCAATGGTCCGTGTGCCTGGTAATGAATAACTAAGAAATGAGCCAAAGATCAGACACAAAGGTGAGATTAGTGACCTCTTGTAGCAGAGCCACTCCTTGAGGGTCCGCAGATAGGATGATGTAACCACATCGTCCATGCAAATGCGTGCGGCGGGGGTTCTTGCAGGGAACACTAGCGATCCTGAGAGTTGGGTCGCAGACTGCCTGACGTCAACGGAGGCACTGTCCTGGTTCATCTAACAGATTGAGTTACAGCCCAGGGGCGAAGCATGTCTCTAAACATGCTGGGAGAAAAGACAATCTTCTGATCACGAAGAATAGTTCAGGTGCATGATCCGTGGAAGACCGATGAGAACAGGTATGGATGCTGGTATCATGGAGGCCTTCCTACCCAAGACAAAGCGCGAATTCGCTCAGTGTCCAAGGTATCCAAGAAGGAAGACAGAGATGATGTGTTGGGAAAAGCGCGAATTCGCCCGGTGCCCAAGTTGCATGGACGCCGTCTGCCTACTTCCCTCCAGTTCATCAAACTTTCTTGAGCGACTGCAATACTCTGTGTCCGACTTCTGGCCTCTCAGCCTGTGTAGCCAGTCTCCGTTATCGAGATCTTTGTCCCGTCGAAGTAGTGCTTGAGAGGGTCGGAACCTTCGATGTCGTTCTTGATAATAACGTTTGGGCGAACCTTGCAGCTGCGACTCTGATCATGAGGAGGCACGTAGCGGCGTCCACGG